TTAAAAATAAGCTAAATTTAAGCTTTTGGGTTCATACCTCAAATATAAAGTTAATCCTTTTTTTTAAATAATAAAGTGCCTGATTAAAGGATTATTCTGATAGGATAAATTAAGTAATTTTTTACCTTTATTATATTTTATAGAATTAAACTATACCTAATAGTATCAAAAACTATTGTGCTTCTTACACTAAAATATATTTTTATTTAAATAATAAAATTAAATTTAAATTTTAATTAAATTAATAAATTTTATTTAATATTTTTTTCCAAATTAATTCTAATAAAATATTTTTTTTATTTATTTTATTTTTTAGAACATTAATTTCTATTTCCTCTAATTCTTGATTTGGATGTTGAATTGGTTTAGAAATTAATCTTTTAAGATTTATCCCCCTAATTTCCTACTCTACCAATTTATTTTCTACTGAAGCTTCTTTAAAATATTTTCTTATTCAATCTATTGCTTCCATTAATTTTATCTTTTCAATTTTAATAAAAATAATTTTAATAAAAAATTTTGAAATAAATAATTTTATTTCAATTATAATTAATTCTTCTCTATTAATAAAAATAGGTTCAGTACCTTTCCATTTTTGATTCCCTAATATTTCTGAAGGTTTATCTTGATTTAATAATTTTTTATTAATAACATGACAAAAAATTACCCCCATAATTTTATTATCTTATTATTTAAATAAAAATTTTATTATTATTATTATAACTTTAAATACTATTATTGGAGCTATTGGTGGTTTTAATCAATCCTCTTTACGAAAACTTATAACTTTTTCCTCAATCAATAATTTAGGATGAATATTAGCTTCAATTTTAATTAGAGAAAATCTTTGAATATTTTATTTAATCATATATTCATTTTTAATTAGAATTATATGTTTTTTTTTTCAATTATTAAATATATTTTATATTAATCAACTTTTTATTTCTAATATTAATTATTCAATTAAAATATTTTTATTAATTAATTTTTTATCKTTAGGGGGATTACCCCCTTTTATTGGATTTTTTCCAAAATGAATTTTAATTAATTTTTTATTGTCAATACATTTTTTTATTATTACATTTATTTTTATTATAATAAGATTAATTATTTTATTCTTTTATATTCGAATTATTTATTCATCTTTTTTATTTAATTATATTAATTTAAAATGAATAAAAATTTTTTTAAAAAATAAAAATTTAATTTTTATTAATTTTTTATCTTTTTTATCAATTATAGGATTAATTTTAAGAACCTTAATTTTTTTATAAGGTTTTAGGTTAATTAAAACTAATAATCTTCAAAATTATTCATAAAGAAAATTTCTTTAAGCCTTAATAAATTTTCTTTATACCATGAAATTTGCAATTTCATATCATTTTTTGACTATAAAACTTATAATAAAAGAGAAATTTCTCGTTAATAAATTTACAATTTATCGCTTAAACTCAGCCATTTTATTTTTACGCGAAAATGACTCTTTTCAACAAATCATAAAGATATTGGTACTTTATATTTTATCTTTGGAATTTGATCAGGTATAGTTGGAACTTCTTTAAGATTATTAATTCGAGCTGAACTTGGTAATCCTGGCTCTCTTATTGGAGATGATCATATTTATAATACTATTGTTACAGGTCATGCTTTTATTATAATTTTTTTTATAGTAATACCTATTATAATTGGTGGATTTGGAAATTGACTAGTTCCATTAATATTAGGAGCTCCTGATATAGCCTTCCCTCGACTAAACAATATAAGTTTCTGATTATTACCCCCCTCTCTCACTTTATTAATTTTTAGAAGAATTGTAGAAAATGGATCAGGAACAGGATGAACAGTTTATCCTCCTTTATCTTCTAATATTGCCCATAGAGGAAGATCTGTAGACTTAGCCATTTTTTCTCTTCATTTAGCTGGAATTTCTTCCATTTTAGGAGCTGTAAATTTTATTACGACAATTATTAATATAAAACTAAATGGTTTATCATTTGATCAAATACCATTATTTATTTGATCTGTAAGAATTACAGCACTATTATTACTTCTTTCATTACCTGTTTTAGCTGGAGCTATTACTATACTTTTAACTGATCGTAATTTAAATACATCATTTTTTGACCCTGCAGGGGGAGGAGACCCAATTCTTTATCAACATTTATTTTGATTTTTTGGTCATCCAGAAGTTTATATTTTAATTTTACCTGGATTCGGTATAATTTCCCATATTATTTCTCAAGAAAGAGGTAAAAAAGAAACTTTTGGCTGTTTAGGTATAATTTATGCTATATTAGCAATTGGATTATTAGGATTTGTTGTTTGAGCTCATCATATATTTACAGTTGGAATAGATATTGATACACGAGCTTATTTCACCTCAGCTACTATAATCATTGCAGTTCCTACAGGTATTAAAATTTTTAGTTGATTAGCAACTCTTCATGGTACTCAAATTAATTATAGCCCTTCCATACTTTGAAGATTAGGTTTTGTATTTTTATTTACTGTAGGAGGATTAACTGGAGTAATTTTAGCTAACTCTTCTATTGATGTAAGACTTCATGATACTTATTATGTYGTTGCTCATTTTCATTATGTTTTATCTATAGGAGCTGTATTTGCCATTATAGCAGGATTTATTCACTGATATCCTTTATTTACAGGTCTTTCTATAAATCCTTTCATATTAAAAATTCAATTTTTTTCAATATTTATTGGAGTAAATTTAACCTTTTTCCCCCAACATTTCTTAGGACTTGCAGGAATACCTCGACGRTATTCTGATTACCCTGATGCTTATACTTCTTGAAATATTATTTCTACTCTAGGATCTTATATTTCATTATTAGCTATATTATTTTTAATTATCACTATCTGAGAATCTATAATTAATCAACGAACAGTACTATTCCCCCTTAACTTATCTTCCTCAATTGAATGATATCAAAATCTTCCCCCAGCTGAACATTCATATAATGAACTTCCTATTTTAAGAAATTTCTAATATGGCAGACTATATGTAATGGATTTAAACCCCATTTATAAAGGATTATCCTTTTTTTAGAAATTGCAACTTGATCTAATTTTAATTTACAAAATAGTGCCTCCCCTCTTATAGAACAAATTATTTTTTTCCATGATCATACCTTAATTATTTTAATTATAATTACTATTTTAGTAGGATATATTATAATTAATTTATTTTTCAATAAATTTATTAATCGATTTTTACTTGAAGGTCAAATAATTGAATTAATTTGAACTGTTTTACCAGCAATTACTTTAATTTTTATTGCTCTACCTTCTCTTCGCTTGTTATATTTATTAGATGAATTAAATAATCCTCTTATTACTTTAAAAACTATTGGACATCAATGATACTGAAGTTATGAATACTCAGATTTTAATAATATTGAATTTGACTCTTATATAATTGCTAGTAATGAACTTCCTTCTAATAATTTTCGTCTTTTAGATGTAGATAATCGTATTATTTTACCCATAAATAATCAAATTCGAATTTTAGTTACTGCTACAGATGTAATTCACTCTTGAACTATTCCATCTTTAGGAGTTAAAGTTGATGCAAATCCAGGTCGTCTAAATCAAACTAATTTCTTTATTAATCGTCCAGGAATTTTTTATGGTCAATGCTCAGAAATTTGTGGAGCAAATCATAGTTTTATACCTATTGTTATTGAAAGAATCTCAATTAAAAATTTTATTAATTGAATTAATAATTATTCCTCATTAGATGACTGAAAGCAAGTATTGGTCTCTTAAACCACTTTATAGTAAATTAGCAATTACTTCTAATGAAAGAATTAGTTAAATTATATAACATAAATATGTCAAATTTAAATTATTACTTAAGTAATATTCTTTTATTCCACAAATAATACCTATTAATTGACTAATTTCATTTATTTTTTTTATTATTACTTTTATTATTTTTAATATTATAAATTATTATATTTTTAATATCAAAAATAATAAAAATAATAGTAAAAAAAAAAATATTATTAATAATTTAATCTGAAAATGATAAGTAATTTATTTTCAATTTTTGACCCCTCAACTAATATTTTTAATTTATCTTTAAATTGATTAAGAACCTTAATTGGTCTTTTATTTATTCCTTATTCATTTTGATTAATCCCTAATCGATACCATATTTTCTGAAATTTAATTTTTAATAAATTACATAATGAATTTAAAACTTTACTAGGAAATAATCCCTTATTTAATAATTTYACATTAATTTTTATTTCAATATTTTCTTTTGTTTTATTTAATAATTTTTTAGGTTTATTTCCATATATTTTTACAAGAACTAGACATCTTACTCTTTCTCTTTCTTTATCCTTACCATTATGATTAAGATTTATATTATATGGATGAATTAATAATACTCAACATATATTTATTCATATAATTCCTCAAGGTACTCCTACTATTTTAATACCTTTTATAGTATTAATTGAAACAATTAGAAATATTATTCGTCCAGGAACTTTAGCTGTTCGTTTAACAGCTAATATAATTGCAGGACATCTTTTAATAACCTTACTTAGTGGAACAGGATCTAAATTCCCCCCATCTTTATTAATTATTTTAATTATTATTCAAATTTTACTTTTAACTTTAGAATCAGCAGTTGCAGTAATTCAATCTTATGTCATTGCAATTTTAAGTACTCTTTATTCTAGTGAAGTTAATTAATGAAAACCAATCATAATCATCCATTTCATTTAGTAGATTATAGTCCTTGACCCTTAACAGGCGCTATTGGAATTATAACTCTAGTTTCAGGTATAATTAAATGATTCCATAATTATAATTTCAATTTATTAATCTTAGGCTATATTATTGTTATTATCACTATATATCAATGATGACGAGATATTGCACGAGAAGGAACTTATCAAGGTAAACATACCATTTTAGTTTCAAAGGGATTGCGATGAGGTATAATTTTATTTATTATCTCAGAAATTTTCTTCTTTGTATCTTTCTTTTGAGCTTTTTTTCACAGAAGACTATCTCCTAATATTGAAATTGGAGCAATTTGACCTCCTACAGGCATTACCCCRTTTAATCCATTTCAAATTCCTTTATTAAATACAATTATTCTAATCTCTTCAGGAGTTACAATTACTTGAGCCCATCATGCTTTAATAGAAAATAATTTTTCACAAACTTTTCAAGGTTTATTTATTACAATTACTTTAGGGATTTATTTTACTATTCTCCAAGCTTACGARTATATTGAAGCCTCTTTTACAATTGCTGATAGTATCTACGGTTCTACCTTTTTTATAGCAACTGGATTTCATGGACTTCATGTAATTATTGGAACTATTTTTCTATCTGTATGTTTAATCCGTCATTCTTTAAATCACTTCTCTAATAAACATCATTTTGGATTCGAAGCTGCAGCTTGATATTGACATTTTGTTGATGTAGTTTGACTTTTCTTATATATTTCTATTTATTGATGAGGAAATTAACTTATTTATATAATATATTTAGTATATTTGACTTCCAATCAAAAAGTTTAATTTCTTTTAATATAAATAATTATTTTAATTTTATTTATTTCTACTATTATTCTTATTATTTCAAATATTATAATAATTATTTCTATTATTTTATCAAAAAAAACATTTTCTGACCGAGAAAAATCATCACCTTTTGAATGTGGATTTGACCCCAAATCTTCAGCTCGAATGCCATTTTCTCTTCATTTTTATCTCATTACTGTTATTTTTTTAATTTTTGATGTAGAAATTGCCTTAATTTTTCCTATTATTCCTTTATTTAATTTAGTTAATTTTATTATTTGATCAAAAATTAGTTTCTTTTTTATTATTATTCTTTTAATTGGACTATATTATGAATGAAATCAAAATATGTTAAATTGAACAAATTAATTTTTTCTTTAGGATTATAGTTTAAATTTAAAACATTTGATTTGCATTCAAAAAATATTGAACTTTCAATTTATCTTATAATAAATAAGAAGCAATTTTGCATTTAATTTCGACTTAAAAGATAGAGTATTTATCTCCTTATTTATTAATTGAAACCAAAATAGAGGTATATCACTGTTAATGATACTATTGAATAACTATTCCAATTAAATTTTTATTTCTATTTCGGGAAATATAAAGTTTAAAATTAAGCTGCTAACTTAATTTTTAGTGGTTTAATTCCATTAATATTTCTTATTTATATAGTTTAATTAAAACATTACATTTTCATTGTAAAAATAAAATTTTATTATTTTTATAAATAAATATCTAAAGATTAAATCAATCTCCTTAATATCTTCAATATTATGCTCTTAATATATAAGCTATTTAAATTTTATAAAATTATTATTATTAAAAATATAAAAATTATTATTCATATAACAAATCTAAATAAATAAATTTTAAAATTATTTACTTGATAAAAATTATAAAAAATTGAATAATTTTTTAAAATATAATATATACCTTGTCCTCTATATAACTCTCTTCACCCTAAATCAACATATTTTAATAAATTCTGCCCTAACTTTAAAAAATAATAATTTAAACCATAAGTAGATAATCTAGGCATAAATCATATTAAACATAAAAATCTTCTAATGTTATAAGTTATTAAAAACTTATTTATTGAATAAATTATTATATTTCTAACAAAATAGCCAATAAACCCTCCCAATAATCTAACATATATAACTATTATTTTTATATTTAAAGGTAAATAAATCATATATGGATTTAAAAAAATTAATCAACTTAACATAGAACCACTTACTACTCTTATAAAAAGTAAAACTATTATTCTTTTTAATATAGTATAATCTTCATCATATAAATTATAAATACTTATTAAATTATAATCATTTACTATTAAATATATAATTAATCGAATAGTATAAAATATAGTTAATCCTGTAGATAAATAATAAATATAATAAATTAATAAATTTAAATTTCTTAAACTCACTATTTCTAAAATTAAATCCTTAGAATAAAATCCTGCTAAAAAAGGAATACCACATAATGCTAAATTAGAAATATTTATACATAAAGAAGTTATAGGAATATAATTTCTAATTCCCCCTATTAACCGAATATCTTGGATATCATTTATTATATGAATAATAACTCCAGCACATATAAATAATAAAGCTTTAAATATAGCATGAGTTAATAAATGAAAAAAAGCTAAATCTGGTATCCCCATTCTTAAAATTCTTATTATTAACCCTAATTGTCTTAAAGTAGATAAAGCAATAATTTTTTTTAAATCAAACTCATAATTAGCTGAAATACCTGCTATAAATATTGTTAATCCAGATAATAATAATAAAATTTTTAAAAATAATATATCAACTAATAATAAATTAAAACGAATTAATAAATATACACCAGCAGTTACTAAAGTTGAGGAATGTACTAAAGCAGATACAGGAGTAGGAGCGGCTATAGCAGCAGGTAATCAAGAACTAAAAGGAATCTGAGCTCTTTTAGTTATAGCAGCAACAATAACTAATCTTCTAATCATATATATTTCATAATCATTTTTTATAAATATTAAATAAAAAATATAATTTCATCTCCCATAATTCAATATTCAAGAAATTACCATCAAAATAAATACATCTCCAACTCGATTAGATAAAGCAGTTAATATCCCAGCATTATAAGATTTAAAGTTTTGATAATAAATAACTAAACAATAAGAAACTAACCCTAATCCATCTCAACCTAATAAAATACTCACAATATTAGGACTAATAATTAATAAAATTATAGAAAATACAAATAATAAAACTAAAATAATAAACCGATTTAAATTTAATTCTGATCTTATATATCTTTTTCTATAATAAATTACAACTGAAGAAATTAATAAAACAAATATTATAAATAATAAAGATATTCAATCTAATAAAATAGATATTACTACTCTTACTGAATTTAAAGTAATAACTTCTCACTCTAAAAAAATTACTATATTATTCATAATAAAATAAATTATTATTATAAAATTTACTATTCTTATAAAAAATAAAAAAAAAAATCTTAAAAAACAAATTGAAATATTTTTTTTAATAACTTAAAATAAGTAATCTTATATTTTTGATACCACAAATCAATATTTTTATTTTAAATTATTTAAGTAAAATCAAATTATTACTCAATCTACCTTTAAAATCATTAAATTTAAAGGTAATCAATGTAATAATAATAATAAATATTCTCGAGAAACTCCTGTATAAAATCTATATAATCCTCTATAATATTTTCCATGTTGAATATAAGAATATAAATATAATCTATAACCAGCTCTAAAAAATGAAATTAATATTAATATAATTATTGATAATCAAGATCATCTTATTAAACTATTAATTAAACTAATTTCTCCTATTAAATTTAATGACGGTGGAGCAGCTATATTAGAAGATATTAATAAAAATCATCATAATCTTATTGAAGGTATAAAATTTATTATCCCCTTATTAATRTATAATCTTCGTCTATTTAAGCGTTCAAAATTAATATTAGCTAAACAAAATATTCCTGAAGAACATAAACCATGCCCAATTATTAATAAATAAGAACCTATAAAACCTCAATAATTTAATGTTATAATGCCACCAATCACTACTCCTATATGACAAACAGAAGAATAAGCAATTAAAGATTTCATATCAACTTGACAAAAACATTTTAATCTAATATAAAATCCTCCAACTAATCTAATAATAATTCAAATAAAATTTAATTTTAAACTAAGTTTTTCAAATAAAATTAAAATTCGTAATAAACCATAACCTCCTAATTTTAATATAATTCCAGCTAAAATTATTGAACCTGAAACAGGAGCTTCTACATGAGCTTTAGGAAGTCATAAATGAACAAAATATATTGGTATTTTAACTAAAAAAGCTAAAATTATTGAAAAATATAATAAATAAAAATCAAAATTTATAAATTTTAAAAAATAAAATATAATATTATTTCCTTTATTAAAAATATAAAAAATTCCCATTAATAATGGTAAAGATGCAAATAAAGTATAAAATAATAAATATATCCCAGCCTGAATTCGTTCAGGTTGATACCCTCAACCMACAATTAATAATAATGTAGGAATTAATCTTCCCTCAAAAAATAAATAAAATATAAATAAATTTATTATTGAAAAAGTTAAATATAATATTAATAATATAAATAATATATTAAATAAAAAAAAATTAACATAAAATTTTATTTTTAATAAATTTTCTCTTGCTATTAATATTATTATACAAATTCAAATTCTTAATAAAATCAAACCAAAAGATATAATATCACAAGAAAATATATATCTTAAATTAGTATTATAATAAATTCTAACATTTAAATTTATAAATATAAATATCATTAATATTATTAAATTCTGAACCAATCAAAATATATTTTTTTTTAAACATAAAGGAATTATAAAAATAACTATAAATATAAATTTTATCATAATTATTTTATTATTAATTTATAATAAATTAAATCTTTGAAAATAATCATTTCCATGAGTTCGAATTATAGATACTAAAATTGATAACCCTAAAGCACCTTCACAAACTGAAAAAACCAAAAATACTATTAATATGAATATATTCATCTCAATTAATCTTAAATAAATTAATAAAAAAAAAAAAATTCTTAAAACAATAAACTCTAATCTTAATAAAACAATTAATAAATGCTTATGTTTAGAAACAAAAATTATATTTCCAATTAAAAATATAATTAATACAATAATTAATATATTATATATTATCATTTGTATTTATTTACTAATTTGTTTTTATAGTTTATAAAAAACATTGGTCTTGTAAATCAAAAATAAGAATTTTTCTTTAAAAACTTCAAAGAAAAAGAAATATCTTTATCTATAATCTCCAAAATTATTATTTTTCATAAACTATTCTTTGATATCCTAAAAATATTTTTTTTTATAATAATCATATCATTATCTATTTTAATATTCTTTATAAATCATCCTTTATCTATAGGAATTTCTATTTTATTCCAAACTTTAATAATCTGCCTCCTTTCTGGAATATTAATTAAAACTTATTGATTTTCTTACATTTTATTTTTAACTTTTATAGGAGGTTTATTAGTTCTTTTTATTTATGTGTCAAGAATTGCTTCTAATGAATTATTTAAAATCTCCCCACTAAATAAAATAAGTACAATTACTTTTTTAATAATTAATTTTATTTTATCTTATATTTTTTTTTTTAATTTAAATTGACTTAATTTTTCTATTAATTTAGAAGAAATAAATAATTTCATACAATCTACAATATTTTTTTTTAATAATGAAAATAAAATTAATTTATCTAAACTTTATAATAATCAAACATTTATAATAATAATAATATTAGTAATTTATTTATTTATCACTCTTATTGCAGTRGTTAAAATTACTAATATTTTTTTTGGACCTCTTCGATCTTCTTAACTAATGATAAATAAATTTTTACCTATTCGAAAAACTCACCCAATTTTAAAAATTATTAACAATACCCTTATTGACTTACCAACACCTTCTAATATTTCAGCTTGATGAAATTTTGGCTCTTTATTAGGACTATGTCTTATTATTCAAATTATTACTGGATTATTTTTAACTATATATTATACAGCAAATATCGAATTAGCTTTTTATAGAGTAAATTATATTTGTCGAAATGTAAATTATGGCTGATTAATTCGTACTTTACATGCTAATGGAGCATCTTTCTTCTTTATTTGTATTTATATCCATATTGGCCGAGGAATATACTATGAATCTTTTAATTTAAAATATACCTGAATAATTGGAGTTCTAATTTTATTTCTACTCATAGCAACTGCCTTTATAGGATACGTTTTACCATGAGGTCAAATATCATTTTGAGGAGCAACAGTTATTACTAATCTTCTCTCTGCAATTCCTTATTTAGGAAATATATTAGTTACTTGAATTTGAGGAGGATTTGCAGTTGATAATGCTACTTTAACTCGATTTTATACATTTCATTTTCTTTTACCTTTTATTGTCTTAATAATAGTAATAATTCATTTATTATTTCTYCATATAACAGGATCTAATAATCCTTTAGGAATTAATAGAAATCTAGATAAAATTCCTTTCCATCCATTTTTTTCATTTAAAGATCTTATTGGATTTTTTATTATATTATTTTTATTAATTATTTTAACTTTAACCAATCCTTATTTACTAGGAGATCCTGATAATTTTATTCCAGCAAACCCATTAGTTACACCTGTTCATATTCAACCAGAATGATACTTTTTATTTGCTTATGCAATTCTTCGATCTATCCCAAATAAATTAGGAGGTGTAATTGCTTTAATTTTTTCCATTCTTATTTTAATTATTCTTCCCTTTACTTTCAATAAAAAAATTCAAGGAATTCAATTTTATCCTTTAAATCAAATTCTTTTTTGATCTCTAACTACAATTATTATCCTTTTAACCTGAATTGGAGCCCGTCCCGTAGAAAATCCTTACATTATTACAGGACAACTATTAACTATTCTTTATTTCTCATATTATATTATTACCCCTATTTTAAATAAATATTGAGATAATTTAATTTTTAATTAATTAATGAGCTTGTATATAAGCATTTGTTTTGAAAACTTAAGAAAGAATATTTATTCTATTAATTTATACTATAAAAATTATACTATAAAAAAATTTTAATTCCTATATATAATAATAAAAAATTTAAAGAAATAGGTAAATAAACCTTTCAAGCTAAATATATTAACTTATCATATCGATATCGTGGTAATGTTCCTCGAACTCAAATAAATAAAAATGATACTAATCTTAATTTCAAATAAAAAAATAATCTTATTCTATACCCTCCTAAATAAATTAATACAATTAATATACTTATAAATAAAATTCTAGAATATTCAGCTAAAAAAATTAAAGCAAATCCCCCTCTTCTATATTCAATATTAAACCCTGAAACTAATTCTCTTTCTCCCTCAGCAAAATCAAAAGGTGTTCGATTAGTTTCAGCTAATCTCGATGAAACTCAACATAATCTTAAAGGGTATATAATAAAAATAAATCAAATTAAATCTTGATATTTATTAAATATTAACATATTAAAATCTATAACTATAATAATTCTAGATAATAAAATTAAAGCCAATCTTACTTCATAAGAAATAGTYTGTGCTACAGCTCGTAAACCCCCTAATAAAGAATATCTTGAATTAGATGATCAACCTGCAATTATAACTGTATATACTCCTAATCTAGTACAACACAAAAAAAATAAAATTCCTATATTAAATCTAATTAAATTAAAATAATAAGGAATTACTAATCAAATTATTAATGATAATAAAAATCTAATAACTGGAGAAAAATAATAAGATAAATAATTAGAATAATTAGGATAAATTTGTTCCTTAGTAAATAACTTAATAGCATCTGAAAAAGGTTGTAAAATTCCTATTAACCCAACTTTATTAGGACCTTTTCGAATTTGAATATATCCTAATAATTTTCGCTCTAATAAAGTTAAAAAAGCCACTCCTACTAAAACTCCAATAATTAAAATAACTACCCCTAGAATAATTATTAATAAATCTTTTAATAACATTTACTATCTATATAATAATAAATTATATATTAATGAATTCTAAAATCATCACATTTTTCTGCCAAAATAGTTACTTATACATAATTTTAAATTTATATATTTAATTTAAAATTTAATAAAATTCTAAATAATAAATTTAATTTAAATATTTATTCCTTTCGTACTAAAATATTTTATTTTATTAAAGATAGAAACCAACCTGGCTTACACCGGTTTGAACTCAGATCATGTAAGATTTTAATGATCGAACAGATCAAAAAATTTAAACTTTTGCATTTAATTTTTATCTTAATCCAACATCGAGGTCGCAAACTTTTTTTTTTATTTGAACTAAAAAAAAAAATTACGCTGTTATCCCTAAGGTAATTTTTTCTTATAATCTAAAAATTAGGATCACAAACTCACTTATCTATGTTTATTAATTAAAAAAAGTTTTACTTATTTTTCTATCACCCCAACAAAATAAATTAAACTAATTTTAATATTAAAAAAGATTATATATAATTTAAAATTATTAATTTATAAAACTCTATAGGGTCTTCTCGTCTTTTAATATTATTTCAGCTTTTTAACTAAAAAATTAAATTTTATTTAATAAATAAGAGACAGATTATATCTCATCCAATCCTTCATTCCAGTCACCAATTAAGAGACTAATGATTATGCTACCTTTGTACAGTCAATATACTGCAGCCCTTTAATTATCAAATCAGTGGGCAGATTAGACTTTAAATTATTATCAAAAAGACATGTTTTTGTTAAACAAGTGGACATATACTTTTGCCGAATTCCTTTTATTTAATTAAAATAAATTTTAATTTTTATATTTAATTTAATATACTAATTTTATCATTATTCCATTATATATTTAATTTTTATAATTATTTTTATAAAAAATTAAATTTTAATATTAAATTTTATTTAATATAAGATTATTTATAAAAAAATATAATTTTTAAACAATATAAATTTTAAAAATCTTAAAAATATTAATTTTATTATAAAATTTTAAATTAAAGCTTATCCCTTAAAATATTTTATTTAAATTATAATAAATTAATTAATTAATTCATTAAACATCTCTTTTAAATATAAAATTAAATTTTTTTCTAAAAAAACTAGATATCTTTAAAAACGAATAACATTTCATTTCAAATTAACTATTAAAAATATTTTTGCTACAATAACTTTTATAATTAATTAACTCTTTTAAATTCGAGAAATTTAATTTATATAAATTTTTTTTAATAAACTCTGATACACAAGATACAATAAATCAAATTTACTTTTATAAAAATTAATTTTAAATTATTTCATAATTCTTTTACAATACTAATTCACTTTAAAATTTTTAATTTTTTCTTTATATAATACTTTAACCCCCATTAAAATATTATTTATTTAAAAATTTTTTTATTATTTCATAAATTTATTAATTTTTCCCCTTCAAATTAATTAAATAAATTTAATATCATTTCAATGTAAATGAAATACTTCATCAAGCTCTAATTTGTCTTTCTAGAAACACTTTCCAGTACCTCTACTTTGTTACGACTTATTCCAATTTATTAATGAAAGCGACGGGCAATATGTACATATTTTAATTTTTAATCATTTTAATAAATTAAATAAAATTACATTTAAATCCACCTTCAATTTAATTTTACAATTAAATATTCATTTAAATAAATTTATTGTAATCCATTATATTCTTAATTATAATCTGCATCTTGATCTGATTTAAATTTTATTATAAATTTTAAAATATTATTTTTCTTTTAAAATATTTTTATAACAACGATATACAAAATTACAAATTAAGTAAATTTATTCGTGGAATATCAATTATTAAACAGATTCCTCTAAATGAACTAAAATACCGCCAAATTATTTAAGTTTCAATAAAAAATTACCTACTATTTTAGTTTTTAAAATTAATTTTTTAATAATAGGGTATCTAATCCTAGTTTACAATAAAATTTATTAATTCACAATTTCTTTATAAATTTTAATTAAATTAAAATTTCACCTAATAATTTAATATTTAATTTAAAAATTAAAATATTTATTATTAACTAAAAAAATTTATTTTAAAATTTGTTTAACCGCAACTGCTGGCACAAATTTAGTTTTTAATTTTTATATTACTAAATCTTAATTTCTTAAATTTTTAATATTAATTACTACTTTATTTAATTTAATTATTATTTAAATAATTAAAATTTTATACAAAAATTTATATGTAAAATAAATTTATAATAAATTTTCAAACTATAAAAATTTTTTTTATATAATAATTAATATTATATAGATTTTTTTTTTTTTTTTTTATTATAATTATTTAATTAAATATTATATTTATTAAATATATATATATATATACATACATATATATTAAATATTTAATTTTAATTATTAAATTTTAAATAATTTCTTTTTTTTTCTTATTTAATATTAAATTTAAAAATTAATATTAATATTCATCAATATATATTCATTGAAATAATAAATTAATTATTAAATATAATATTTTATTAAAAAAAAATTAATAAATTATTTTATTTTAATTTAATTAAAATTTATACATATATATATATATATATAAATTAAAAATAATAAATTATTTATAAAATTTATTATAATTAAACCATTTCTAATAAATTTTCTATAAAAAAAAAAA